GTGTGCAAGCTGCCCAGCTGTGGGGCTGGGCAGCATGCCAGAGGTGTATGTGCAGGGGACACACAGGGTGTAACCACATGCTGGGGGCTGTGCTGGAGGGTGCCCTGTGCCAAGTGTGTGCTGGTGGGGACAGGCATCCCCTTACCTTTGAACATGGGGCTGACCCTCCAGACACCAAGGCAGCCCTGGCTAGCGAACTGCCCGAAGGAAAGCTCCATGAAGAAGAGGGGGATGCCACAGAACACCAGCATGATGAAGTAGGGGAACATGAAGGCACCTGACAGGCACAAAAGAACCAGAGAGTGAGAGTGAGCAGCAACCATGGGCACAGCCGTGCCCCCATGCCCTGCATTGCCCCGGCAAGCCTGGGGCTGGCAAGCACTGTGCAGGGCTGGGGTGTATGCCCCTGCCCTGGGGCACCCCACTCTGCGACACCCACCTCCCCCATTGCGGTAGCAGAGGTACGGGAAGCGCCAGACGTTGCCCAGCCCCACAGCGTAGCCCACGCTGGTCAGCACGAACTCGATCTGGTTGCCCCAGTTGCCGCGCTTGACACTCTTGTCCTGCTTGCCCTGCTCCCCGGGCACGGCGCCGTTCTGCAGAGAGATGCCATGGGGTGTGTCAACCAGGGACCCTCCTGCCAGCCCCATTAGAAGGGTGACAGCCACTGAGTGGGGCTGGGTGGTCCCCTGCATTCTGCCCCATCCCTCCCCCACGCTACCCCCACCCCTCCGCCACACACAGGCAGTGCCAAGGAGGGGGGAGGGCAGCGGTGATGCCCCCCTCCTCCTGCACCCCTCCCCAGTGAATAGCTCTGCCCGGAGCCGGGCTGCAGCGAAGGAAGAGCCTGCAACTCATACAAAGCAGGTTCAGGGGCTGGAGCACAAAGGGGCCTCTGTTCCCACACCCCTCCCTTCCCTGTGCCCAGCAAAAGAGGCCCCGCTGGGTGGCCACTGCCTACAGCTGGGGGCAAACCGTGGGACCCCCCAGGTGAAGCACAGACCCTCATCTCAACGGAGAGGGGGGTGCAGTGATTAGAGCAGATGAGGGGCTGGGTACTCCCCCCCAAGAAAAGCACCCTGCTGCAGCCAGGGTCCTGCTGCTGGCTCACTGCCCTGTGAGGCCACCATGCTTGGTGCAGCATGGGGGTATCCCATGCAGGTGGGTCCCCCCAGGGACAACATCAGAGCCCAGTATCCCGCACAACAGGGGACCTGGGTGGAGTAGGGGCAGATGGGGGCAAGAAAGGGTGCTTTGTGCAGGCTGCCACACAATGCCAGTTCACACCGGGGACAACAACAACTGGGATGAGTGCCCATCACCCCTGGTGGAGATGGTACCCATCACCCCATGGCTCCATCCCAGCATGGCCCCAGACTTGTA